CCCCCCCCCCCCCCCCCACACATACAATTGGTTATGTCCAATCAGAATTGTCCGTCGTTTTGCTCTTTGGCCATGCTATATAGCTGCCTAAGGAGCTGGTTTGTTCTCTCCCTGCCTATTGGGTAATTGTTTCAAAGTTCGATGCTAATACATTTCTTTTATTTTGTCCTCCTACTGCCATCAATCCAATTAGACGGACATTTTCTATTATTTTCAGTTTCAGGAAAATTGGAAAATACGTACTTTATCGGTGCGTTGGATGGTAAAGTCAATCGTACACACTCCTTTCATTTCATTGGTTTGCAAACCAACAACATATTGAATTGATGGCTTGATCCTTTTAAGTTTGCCCTAATCAATTAGTTAGCTTCAAATCAACACCTGATAATACTGGGGTCTCTGATTTGACCCTATCGGTGGTTGTCGAAATTGACTGACTAAAAAGTCAATGTTACTTCAGCTATTAGTAATCTGGATTTTCGTAGAAGATAGATTTATAATGAATTAATATTTTTTCTTATGACAAGACCTTTTCATGCCCAGTATATTGGCCAACCTGTTACCTATTTTATTATGGTACTCTACTGTTGAACCGCAGTATTTTTTAAATGCAATGCCTTGTAGTAATCCAGGTGTTATTACGCCTTTATTTCCCTTAACGCTGCTTTGTAACGTATTTAGAATGAAATTCGGTCTTATTGTTGAGCAAAAAAGCTTGTGAAATCGGTCTTTAGCTGTAGGTCATGTTTGGGAGCTATTGTAATATAATTGGAATTTGGGTTGTTTACATTTGGCCAACCAGACTTTAACTTACTGGATTCATCTCTTGTAATTACTGCAATCTGGAGATGGCAATATAATTCTCACCAATTCCCTACATTAATGTAAACTAAATTTCTGTCCCACTATAAGTGAAATTCCATTAAGTATTAGCCTTCAAGTTGATCTATGATTTGCTTTGCAATCTGAAAGACTGCGATTCCTATCGATTCCGGTGAACGAAAACGATCGTTTGGCTCTTGCCTTTTTAAATTGGTGTGTATGCAATGCAGACATATCATCGGAGGCAGAAATGAGTTAAAATTGACTATCGATAACCTACTATTACTTTTTGTAGTAGTGTTTGCACTCAGTTTGGACCGGACGTAAAAATAATTTCACTTAAAGCAACTTGATTTAACTTGTTCTTTGATAGTCACTGTTAGATGCATTGAGGGAAAAATCCTTTACCGATAATGAGAATTAAATAGGATTTTTCTTGGTGTTTATGCGCTCTGGCTGCGTTTGCTGCTTTAACGCAGTGAAAAATATTTAATCATATATAAATGACTTCATTAATTTCTACCCATAGGCGTCAGTCACCAGCATTTAGACCCGATACAGTCGTATCAGGTGACCATAATCACCACCACCATCACCACCAACTTCATCTCCACAACAGCCACCAGTCTCAAAATATCCACCTCCCTGCTGCTTTCACTCACAGTAATAATGGCAACGATGACGACTCAGCCAGTTTGTCAGTCTCTAGTAGCAGTCCAAGCGGACTTAGTAGCCGCAGTCAATCACAGGCCATTGGTACCATACAAGCGGCTGCCATTCTACAAGCCGCTGGCGGTGGATCGCGTATGCACAATCTCTCTGTCATACGACCAGTCCTGTCTGGATCGACGGCCACTCCTAGCGTCTCCGCCAATCGACTTTCAGACACGGACTCCATTGAGACTCCTGCTACTGGGCTTTCTGATGATTCTCTTCGTGGTTAGCTGAAACTACTCTTTTTGCTCTTTTTTTTAATTTTGCAATGTTATTTCAATTTGGATGCATTTGGGTTGTGATTGTTCACCACCTAGGTTTGTGAGTGAGCACAATTAGTTGAAACTGATGATTGTTATTTACCTCAGTTTGACGAACATTTATTGTTATTTCTATTTTATTGTTGCATTACTAATGTAATAATCCGTTAAGATTTTCTACGGCGCTTTTTTCTCACGTGTTTCTCAGCTGTATTTCCTTGAAATTAAGTCTCTATTTGTTCTTAATTTGCTAGCAAGAAGGGAATATTGGCATTTTGGATTCTCCTAGTTCCATTTCCAGTGAGGCATTTAGATATAAATGAAATGGTTTCATACATGTGCAACCTATACCCACTATATCACCATTAAAACATTTCAGCAAACAATTGAATCGCTACTGTTTGAAGATTGACTTCATTTTTATAATACTGTTAGTTTAATGGCACTATTTCATAATCATCCTCATAGTCTATTTGACAGTTATTGATAAGAAATGGCCTATTTATTCTTGAATCACCTATGCGCCTTCAACTGACTTTCGTTTTTTGGGGAGGCCATACTAACGAAACACACGGTCAACTTTAAAGTTTGTTCAATGTATTAATCATGTGCTTCCTTTTTTAAGATTCAATATCCCGGTGTTTCTATTGCTTCATTTCTTTAAGAAATGAGAAGCCGTTCCATAGATCAACATGTTCTTTCCGAGGAATTGAATTAACTCTCGTCCACTATAATCGTTTTTTTAATACTCTAGTTCATCTGCTACTTTCTTTCATTTATTCATTTAACTGACCATTTCACATTATCTCTCCAGTTGACGACTTTACTGACGCGCGGTCTCTGTTGTATATGAGCCTTGCTAGTGAACGTTTGACATGCCTGGATCCAGCGGTCTCAGAGGCTCTTCAACAATCTGCTGGTTATCTCGATTTGGCTCGGGTGGCGTTGCGAGCGGCAGGAAGCAAACCTCTCTCCTCAATTAGCCCCCTTTCCTCCATCAGATCGGGCTGTGCGAGTGCTAGCATCTCCGGCTCACAACATAAAGCCCAATTGCCAATCTACTCACCAGTCATCACGTTAGCTAATGCCAATTATGCTATCACGAGAACGTATCCCTCACTCCTTATTGTACCTTCAGTGAGTCTACTGAATTCACTTATAATTAGTTTTGTTTGGCTGTTGAGATTTAATTTTTTTTAGCTCTGTCGATGTATTTGGTTGCGCTCTCGATCGAAAATTACTGCCACGTTTTTTTCATGCTGCTAAACAATAAATTTCAATCTATTTTATGTGTTGGAGCCTGGTAGTTAATAGAGCCTAGCTAAATAGTTTGGTAATTACTTAGCGGCGGTGTGGAGTCATGCGTATCATAAGGGACCGACATCAAGATAGACATGAAAACTAGGGTAGAGTTTTACACTACTTCATTTTAGCTGAAGCAATTGAAGTAATTATTCTCGTTATGGGAGTAAGTGAACTAAAATCCGCACTAGAATTATGGGGAGTCATTTCTTTCTCTTCTGATCATATATGGTTCGTATTTCCTTCCGATTTACTTTTACATTATTGCTTAGCTTGGTCAGTTATTTAACTGCTTCTAAAATGTATCCTCGTAGCACTCACTATTAGTCGTTTCTACCGCCAGTGAATAGTTTTACCGCAATATTTTAACATTTCCGACCACAAGTTATATGCTAAATGAGTAGCATTTTGTTTTACATCGTTTTAATAATAATCTGTATTTTTCACATGATAAGTTACATATCACCTTAACTCAAACAACCACAGTCTGAGTTACTCACGAGGGTGAGAAAAAGTAACAGCCTCTCAAAGGGTACATTCTTTAGCTATCCCTTTTGTGTTCGTTCAGTACTCTACTATAACTGTTAATTCATTTGGGATATTTTTGTCACCTTCTGTTAGCCTTCATGACCATTAGACTTCAAAGGGCCTATCCCCACCAAATTGTGAGCATTGCTTACCATGGCCTGCCGTCGGTTGAAGAAATTTAGCAAGAGCCTTGCTATTGATCCTAATAAAAAGGTTTTATTTCCCACAAGTTCTCGTTTGTCAAAGTCATTTCAATCAGTGGAACAGAATAATGAACTTACGAATCGGCCACTCTTTAAGACGCTTTCAAAAATAAAAAAATTTTAACTACACTTGGCCATGACATTGTGTGACTGATCTTTCCTTACCAGGGTTTCAAACGCGCACGATTGGAACGAGTAGCCCGCTATCACAAACACGGTCGTTTTCCTGTGGTTGTATGGCAGCATACAGAGACTCGAGCCTATTTGTTACGTGGGGCCGCTTTTCAGACGAAGTCTATTCTCTCTGCCTTCAAACACACAGTTGTTGCTAATAGCAACAACGCATCAGAGAGACAGACATCAAACGCTGCCGCCGCTTATAACGGTAAGTTCGATAAACTGTTTATTTACCAGGTAATATATTCGGTTGGCAACTAAGTCATTGCCGATTTCAAATAAGAAGGCAAATTCGGAATTTTTGTTTAAAAATATAACTTTATTCAATTAGATATTGGCCGTTCTTTTCGATGGCCTTTTTCCATCGTTCTGGCAGAGTAAAAATTCCCCGTTCGTAAAATGTCTGGTCTTTGCTATTAAAAAACTGAATTAGGTGTGATCCGACATCATCCGCGTTGTTAAAAATTTTATCATTTAAAGAGTTTTGCATGGAATAAAACAAATGGTAATCCGAAGGCGCAAGGTCAGGGCTATATGGTGGGTGTAACAAAACATCCCAACCCAGTTCCAATAATTTTTGCCGAGTAACCAAAGATGTGTGCGGGGGCCTTGCGTTATCATGATGGAAAACAACACCCTTCCGCCGATTTGATAATGCCGGCCGCTTATCTTCAATTGCATTCTTCAGTTTTTCGAGTTCTTCAACATACACATTTGAATTTATCGTTTGGTTCTGCGGCATGAGTTCAAAATACAAAATTCCTTTGTGATCCCACCAGACTGACAGCATAATCTTTTTTTGGTGAATCTCTGCTGCTTTTGATACTGTTTGGGCTGGTTGATCTTGCTTCACCCATGATCTCTTGCGAGTAAAATTGCTATAAACTATCCACTTTTCGTCGCCAGTAACTAGGTTCTTCAGAAATGGATCATTCCCATTCCCATTGCGTTTCAGTAGCGGCGAATCACAGATGCTAATCCGTTGCGTCAAATGAATTTCCTTTAACTGGTGAGAGATCCATAAATCAAGTTTCTTGACATAACCAAGGGTTTTTAATTTTTTTTTCAATGCATGTATGCGACACATTGAGCTTCTCTGCAATATCTCGTGTTGTGCTGTGACGATTTGAATCGATAATGGCCTTGATATGGGTTTCATCCACTTCGACTGGGCGGACAGATCGTTGTGAATTTTTCAGTGAAAAATCACCGTAACGAAATCTTTCAAACCAATTTCGACACTGCCTTTCTTTTAAGGCTTCATCTCCATATACGGCACATAACTTCTTTTGTGCTTGCGATGCGTTCTTGCCTTTTCGGAAGTAATACAATAAAATGTGTCGGAAGTGCACGTCCTGTTCTTTCATTTTTAAATTGGGATAAAAACAAAACTAAACAAAAAATTTTTTTACTAATTAACCTAGAAGCCCATACAGTAAGAAAAAAATATAAGTTAGATGCTATGGCCACGTTAACAAAACAAAAGAAAGTATAGAGTGAATCTGTCAACAAAAACGGCAATGACTTAGTTGCCCACCCAATATAAGGTGTTTCAGCACAGGCTTCTGGCAAAATTTTTGTCTGAGCTAGAGACTTATTGACATGAACTCTGTGAAATCGCAAAGTTAGGGTAACTCCTAGGAAAGATGTTTTTTGTCAGCTTTAAATATATACATTGTGTAATGCCTAATTTGTCACAAAAGCAGAAATATTCTTTAACCTCTGATACGGGATATCGCATTCTGATTCTTCTATATTGCATAAAGTTAATCAATAGAGTTTGTAGTCTCAACAGCAAAGACATCGATTCAGCTTGTGGTAATGTTTGGCACATAATTATTTAAGTTGAGGTCGGTTCCGAGTGCTTGTAGTTTTATATTTGATCTAGACATTATCTTTATGAGAAATGATGGGTCAGATATGTTATTTACTTTTAATTAACACTTTATACAATCTAAGTTTACGCAGATACCAGAAAGTAAAAGTAGACCTGTGGCTCAAATGTTTTTTTTGTGAAAATTAATTTCTTTTATTGAATAGAATTTTTAATAATCGGTTGTTTAACTTATTAATTAATAATTGCAACGATATTTTTCCTTTCTTTACAGTGATTTTATTGAGAATCGTATTTAATTGTAATACCCAAATGGTAGAGATGTCTTTTAAATCGATTAAGGGCACTCAAGTCTGGGCGGTTTCTATCTCCAAGTACGAACTTCTTTACGGTGATTACTATTAATGCCGGTTGATGGTTTTAGGCTACTAATAATAATTTTGCTTTTTATGCGCACTGACAAATAGCTGAGTGTTCACCCATTTGGGCACTAGTTGCTACTTAGCGCTTCAACTTAGCAGAGGGAGTAATAACTAGGTTCTGGTAGTAGGTGATTCATCTCGTTTGACTACACATGGCAACTCCCTGGGCATTCAGCCTGTTGCTACCTAACCAATGCGTCTACACACATGCTACCTACTTCCCCACTGGGATACGTTTTTGGGTGTGGAGGTCAATGCCCAGGCCACGAATTGCTACCGGTGTTTGGTTTTTTCGTTCCTCTTAGCACATCTCCCTCTCTTCACATTATTTGGATAGACCTAACCAATTGGTTTTCTTATTTCTGCGACATGATTACATGTCTATGGTTTTAAACTTTTAATGGAAAGGCTTTGTAACTGACTGCATAATTTAGTGGTAAAGTATAATTATGTGATATTCAGAACTGTTTGAAATTCGTTTTCAGCTGTGAATAGAACTTTTTATTCCAACTTATTTTGTAGTTTAAGGTCTTTCAGTATGTGATTGATTGGAATAGAGTGTACCTCTTCTCTTAGCAACATATTAAAATCTTTTATCTTCAATAACATCGAGTTTTAGAAGACTTATCTCAATTCCCATATATTTTTATTTCATTCAGTTTATTCAACTTCATATTTATTTTATCTATCAGAGTAGTTCATTTTTTGTTTCAATTTTTGCTCTCCTATTTCATGAGTAAGTTTTGCGTCACCATTCGACTACTAATTTTAAAAACCATTTTAAAATGCGCTTATTATAGACGGAGAGAAATTACAGCTTCTTCTAATTCGCGTATCTACGGAATCTTCAAATTTACAGCTTTGTTTATTTTTTTCCCTTTCAACAAGATGCAACTTTCGCAATTAACCCTTTTTTACTCTCATAATTTGAAATATTTTATTGTGTGGTTCTAATTCCTCATGGTCATACTGTTTTGTAGTCCTGTCTGGTTCTGTATAGATGGGTATTGCGAACATGCACTTCTTAATTAGAGTGTTGCTTCATTTTATCATTAGCAAATACTCCTTCGTATCCACTTGGTATTCTAGAGCCTTTTACAAGACTTGGCACTTTACGTTAGCAAGTACCTAGCATTGTAGGAGCTTAAAATCGGAATGCTCGTTCAAACTGATTAGTGTCCGTGATTTAGGGGGAAAGAGAGAGAGTGCGAGCGTTTCCATTAACTTTTACCTGGAAATTAGCCTCCACTTCATTTATTAAATGCATTTCCGTAATTTTTGTTTCAATATTATTGGCATTGTAGAATATGATTAATCTCTTCTGATATTACCAAGTGTTCATTCCAAATTCACCAGAATACATTGACTCAAGTTAGGAGAATAACGAAATAAGGTGGTAGTGCATTTACTTCCTAATATATTATTGGTTAATTTTATCAATCTTCTTTAATTTTTCTCCTTGTTGCAATTTAAGTGTGAAGAGGCAACCCGCCACCGCTTGATGTAACTAAATTTAGCTAACGTTTACTCATACGGCAAAAAAGACTATAAACTGGCAGTTTATTCCTGACTTCAAACTACCATCACCCCGCTGTATGTCATATTCCACAACTTTCACAGTACTCATCTCACCTTTCCTCTACCTTTGTGTCTGTCTGTCTCTTCTACATCTGTGAATTACTCTTTTGCCTCCCCCTCTCGAACTATTCAAAACGCCTGCCATTTGAAATAATAATAATTTAATCTCGAAAATGTTCTAGAGACAGTCCTATTTGCTTCTCATTTAGTCGATCGACCAAAGCCATCTCTAAAACAATACTGGTTACTTTTTGAAACTTTGGCTAGAAACGTGGCTGGTTTTACGATTCACAAACATACTGTCATTTTGGATCAAACGTATATACCTTCCGCTCTTTTATTTTTGCGAAAAGTTTCTGCTTTTAACTAAAAAAGGTAACGAGTTTCTATGAGGGAATGCGAAAGAAATCATACATTACCGTGTTTCTTATGTTGGGCAAACCTCCTGGACTTTACAGACAATAATTTATATCTGCTAAATGGAAGAGCGCCATAGAAGCACATTTTTTAAATAAAGTCTGTGCTCAAAATATGCTATTTTTGTCCACTTCAGGTGTTTATAAAAGTTGTAACAAAGACCCTCCACAACGAAGGAGTTTATTCATCCAATTCCCCATTTACTAATTATGCAATGCAAGTTCTCCTTATTTGTGGATGTATAAATGAAAAGTCGTACAATTTAAAAAAACACCACTTAAATGTTTGTTTTTAAATAATATCTTTTATACTATGTGATATAATTTAGGGTATAACCATTTTTTCTCCCAAACTTACTTTACGTGAGCATACGAATTTCTGTTATAATTCTACCGTTACACACTGGAGGATCTGATTAAACCAGAAATTTTAGCACGTCATCTTTAAAACTTGTGAGTCATTGTGATTTCGATGCGGAATTTACATCTTTATTGCCCGATTTAAATCCTCTACCAAAATTGTCGTCGGCGTGCTGCAAGTGGATGGCCATACATTTCAATGATGAATTCGTAGCCTTGCAGATATTCATTTCCCGACGGAATCAAGCAGCACACAGTGTCTACTTTCTTTGGAGTTGGACATTTTTATTCCTAACAATAAGATGACATGTTGGCTCATGAGCAACTACCTAACAATTTATCCACTTTGAGACAAACTTACAGAGTTGCTTCCTTCACATTGTCTGGACACAAACTGAACTCACAATTCTTTGTGTCAATTGCGTGACCTATCTAATTTAGCTTGTCACTCCTTTTCAGATACAGAAGCAAGCACTGAAGTCTCATCTGCTAAGGAGCATGCTCGCTATTTCGCCTCCCTGGTGAATATGTCTCCTCTCCCACCCACCCATGGAGGCAACGCCGTGAACACTGTACCAATCACTCCCTCCTTCTCGGACTCCATTCGTCACCGTGATCCCTTGTCCCCACGGATTAATTCCATGATGCTTATTCCCACTGCTAGGACCAACGATAATCAAAATCTCAACACTCCTAATCCCTCACCACGAGGTGTCTTTTCCAATGAGAGAACCGGCTCCCTTTTGCGTTCATCTCGTGCTAGTTCTCGAGGTATGTTTTCTCTAATCTTTTCCCATTTTTCCCGTTCTTCTAGTCACGTAATCTTTTGTGGATAGATTCAGTTAGGCTCTTATATACGGGTAATTTTACTAACAAGTAGTGTATTAGGTTCACATATTAGTATGTAGTGCGTAAACCATTAGAGCTTATCAAAGTTTTTTTTCTTCCTTTATCTTCTGCTCCTACAACTTAAAACCGTATGTTTATTGATATTAACTTAACGGATTTCTCATACTTTGATTTCTTACTTGTTTGATTAATGCTGCTATTTATTTGTGGTCATGCTACCTATTATCTCATTATCTTCATTTATGCTATTTACACTACATTGCCATTTTTGGTTGTGTATTTGATTGAACACATCTGGAAATGAAATAATAATTTTGACTAATTAACCCCAATTAGTTGGTTCCGTTATTTCACTAAACACTCCATTTGAGAAACGGCTCTCACTATTCACCGCTCCGGAAGAAATAAGTGATCTCGCTGGACAGATGACTCATAGTCCCTCTTTGGAATTGACTGCATCGCCAAATACTGGCGTTACAAGTCAATTCATTCGGTACACTCCGAATCATTCAAGTCGATACAGGAATCGTTTTAAGGGTGGAGGTAATTTTATACTTTCCCTTTGGACCAAGTTCGCTTCGCTTTAAATCGGTTACAAATGAGTTTTCAGTTTTGCGCTCCTTTGAATTGGAAACCGAATTATGCTGATTTAAGCAATCAGGTCAAATGCCTTAATGCTAATGATTATGCGCCGATTGTATGTTTGTATTTACTTGTGATCAGCGTTATTTCCACCAATTTGAACTTTAAAGTTCGAGCTTAGGCTTTCTGAGTGAATGCAGAATATTGTTTCAGTCAAGTATCAAAGAACTCGTTTCTACTTATCAGTCGAAGTCGGTTTAAATCCTTGAATTTGAACTATCCCAACGGTCGTTTTATCTGCGAAATCAAACAGGTTTTAAGCGCGTTTGTTCGAGGTAAACGAGTTGAATAGATTAAGGAGGCTACAGTAAGTAAAATAGCCAAGGTAATTACTTTACTATAATACGTTTATAGTCTGACGGCCTTTCTTGTCATATTTGCAGATCGATTGTTCCCGTTCATCTTACTTCCTGTCAAGTTTAATACCTCTAATAAATTATATTTTCAGATGAACAAATTCAATCGACTAAATGCATCCTCATAAGGGTCTTTAATTAAATGATATTTAAATCGGGGGACGTTTTAGAGACGTACAAAAGAATAATATAGCATCCAGAATTTCATTTTATTTCATTTCAGTGTCTATGTAACTTCTGTATTGTAAATTTTTATCATTGCATCAACGGAATAGCTTTTTTTCCAATGCATTTAAGAACTATTAACATGGAATACAAGCGTTGCTGTTGCATTTCTTTCTGCTTAAATGCACAGTTCAGCGGCTTTGTTTCTTATCAATTCTTCCTCATATTCATTAATTTACTTATTTGCCTAACTGAATATCAATATACCTATAAATAGCATATTCTCCTGTTTGAGAACCTGCATTCTTTTACATATTTGTTTATATGCGATATTCAATGGAGATATATTGGATACGTCATTCTCACACTACCCTCTGTTTTTTATCTCTTCTGTTTTTAGTTCGACGTGGTAAGATTTATTCCTTACAATTTCTCTTTCCTTATTTGTTCCTTTTTTGTGCTTCGTTTATTGCACGCTCTCATTCACTAGTCTAGACTAGTAACCTTCTATGCACAGGAAGTGAATGCCTGTTGTGTTGTTAACTTGCTACTCGAATGGATGCTGTATGGCATTGATCATAACTCTTTCTGATCGTTTTTGCATTTCCCCATCTGCTATGCATTACTGATTCCTCTGCAGCACTAGGTAAATTCACTGGTGGTAAAATGGTCAACTCATCACCTTCATCAAACTCTACAGCTCCCAACGCAACTTCGCATGCTTTTGTTAATGATGATGAAAGAGGCAGCCTTATTAGCTCTTCTACACAACAACTCTATCCAGAGTCACGTCTACCCACTGCTCTCTATGTACTTTGCGAACGATCTGTGAAGGTAAGCCCCTTTGTAGTTCGTTACTGTGTCCTTTATGTATCAGTACATTTTGTAAAAGAAGTAGAGAAATCGTAATTTGCAGGTCTGTAGGGTCGAAGTTCTTAAGTTTGAGACTCTTGTATGCATATTTATCTGTTTAAGAGGCCAACTCAGTTGGATTGGTGTTAGCTTACTTTTTGTTAACCAAAAAACTTTGGAACGCCCTTCATAATTAGTGATAATGAAAAATTGTGGGAACTATCTAAAAAGACCCATTAAAATACTAAAGGATCAGGCTAAATTTTATTACATTATTTTGACCACATTCGTTAAGATAGATGATTTGAAGTGTAATTGAAGCCAGTCAATCGTGTCTTAATGGCACTTTCTTATGGAGCACGAGATTGGCTCAAATAACTCATTAGTAGAGGAAAATTTTTTAACTCTCCGTCCGAACTTTAAGTCATAATGCGAAAGCTTATTAATTTAATGGACGGATACAAATGCCCTGATTGACGCTCCAGTATAATCACACAGGAATATGCAATTTTCAGACAATCTCTTGAAATGGGCCTATACTTGCCATCAGAGTAGTCGTTTACATTTTTTGAAATTCACTAATGCGCCTCTGGTCATTTTCGATTCTCTAAATGGGATTTTAAATCCATGCCTAGTACTATAAATAATTTCAATCCTCTCCTTGCTCCGTCTAACCTTATTCTCTTTTAGACCATGATGAAGTCTGGTCAGTTCCCAGGCGTGGAGTTCATGTCTGTAGACTACCCCTCCTATTCATCTATTCGTGAGACTTTCCGGAAAATCTACAATGCCTGTCTACCAAAAGATGCTAGATCTCGCCTTGGAGGTGTGTTCAAAGAGTACCAACATCGTGGAAGTGATGGTAGTGATCATGAGAACAATAATCTTGCTGCTGCGTCGAATGTCTCTGGGGAAAAAGGTGCTGGAGGAGCTGAAGGGCTTGGCAAAGGAACACATGGAGATATCATCACCGCTATTGCAGAGTCTGGATGGTTGGAACAAATTCAGTCCCTGCTTCAACTGGCTGGTGTTTTGGTGGACATTATGAGCATTCAAGGAGCCAGTGTAGCTGTCTGTTTGGAGGATGGGTTGGATATTGTGACCCAGGTACCTGTCTTTATTGTTGCTCTGTTTTATTATAACTACCTTGGAACTATACTGCTTGAAATCAATCAAAACATTTAATTAAATTGTAAAGCTGCTTCGGAAAGTCTTTTTATGGATCGATTATATGCAAGAGGTAATATCCAGTCAGTTTATTGATGCCTAGCTTTATATCGCAGTAAAATGGTGTGTGAATGTGTCATTAACTTGATGATTGAAAGCCTCAGTTAGCTACCTTATAAAATTTTTTAATCAAATGAGAGTTTCATATGCTAAGAGATAGATTTAATCCGAACCCAACGGTTAATTTACATTGAGGTAAAAAATAGTAATAAGATAACGGAATGTAAGAACTAGATTTGAAAATTCTTCTTTGTCCGTCCAGAAAGTGGTTAATAGTAGCGGCGTTTTTTCACAATGATCAAATTAAAATGAATTCCTATGCTCCAAGAAACAACTATTTTTCTCTGATAGGTTGTGGAAAATTGTTATTAAAATTGGTTCCCTTTATTCTTTCTATGATCATGAAGAGTATTTTCCCAAGCCATCTTTTAGAGTCTCAACTATTACAACTTTATTTTCTATCTGTCTCTTGACCAATTTTAATTATTGCAGTTGACTGAGCATGCATTGATGGCCATCAAACTCGGAATTTTCATTTGTCAGACATCCCCACTATAGTTTATTCTTTATCTTCGATTTTAAACGGTTCCAACTTGACTTTGAATATATTTAAACTCCTCTAATTAAAGCCTATTTTTATTGACTTAGTCACCTGAAAGTCAGTCGTGCTAGAAAGAGCGGATTTTAATTTGAGCAATAGTGTTACTCCCTCCCTCCCTCCCTCCCTCCTTCTCTCTCTCTCTCTCTCTCCCTATCATTCTGTTTGGCATACCTAAATGCCTTATCCATCGTGAAAATAGCAAGTATGCGTAACATCATTTGCCTGAATGAGTCAGCCACCTGAGTGGCACATTCTAATTATCATTTAAAATAATTCCGTAGAAGGTAAAACAGATATTTAAAAACTGAATTATAAGTGGTTTGGAATATCTAAAACTTAGTTTTTAGCCATTTGTATTTGACGATGTTATGATATACCACTCTCCTTCAATCTCCTTGTAATTATAAACTAATTTGCTCCTTTGAATGATTGGTCAGTGCACATTATTTAACATAAAGTAATAAGTGAATAGCTCATCTCCACTAATATTAAGTGTTATGAACACTACCTTAATGTTCTTGGGAAGTTCGCTAGTAATGGATTTTTGACTAGATTGCCGATGCGTACACCACCTGTCCTGTTATAAGGCCTATATTTGTTACATGCGAGGATACGGTTCAATGAAGCATCTCAAATGTTGATACTTTTCTTTTGATAAGTATTAGGCAATGTAGTTTATCAACCCAACCTCATTCAGTGAATACTTTAATACATTCGAATTTATAGATGTTAAATCTATGGATTACACTTTCTCTCTCTCACTTAGTGTTTATAAACTAACGAGGTTCTTTATGAAAAATTTGAAATAATTTAAGTTTAGTTGTATGGAGGCCATATTGAACCACCCTAAGTGTATGCAGCGAGTATTGACATTGTGATCTCTAACTTAGCAGGAATGCACGTTGACTATTGAACTATCGACACACAATAGTGAATCAGAGTGTTTACTTTGTTTCGCCAATTTAGATGGTATCCTTGGCCCAAGTAATGATGGACCCAACCTACCGCACAATTGCTGGCTTTTGGTCTCTAGTCGAGAAAGAATGGCTTCTCTTTGGTCATCCTTTCAATCAACGTGTTGGTCTCAAGGCGAGTGGCAACAATGGGAAAGCCTCTCATACCTCCCCAGTCTTTCTACAATTCCTTGACGCCGTGCATCAACTAGTGCGCCAGTTCCCACTCTCCTTTGAATTCAACGATTTCTTCCTGCAGTTCCTCGCCTACCATCATGTCTCCAATAGATTCCAGGACTTTAAACAGGACTGTGAACTCCAACGGATGTCTCACTGGGTCCAGCAGGCATCGGTGGATCATGTCGCAGCTTATCGGACACATTCAATTTGGAAATTTATTCAAGATCAACACGAGGAGTGGCCCGTTTTCTTCAATTTCTGCTACTCTCCGGAGTGTGCACAGAAGGTAGCGCAATTTTATTTTAACGGTAGATTTTTGGGAATCGCTTTGTTAAAGCTAGATACTATTGATACTTCTGGTTTGATTTTTAAATACGAAGTTATATCCGAAGGTAAATCGTCCAACCAACTAATTGGGCTCTATAACTTTGTCATTAAAGATTTCAAAGGTGTGAAAGTTTTAAGCATTTCCGCTTTAATTAAACAGTCTTTTTAACTTGAATCTTAATGGCATGCAATGCACCATCTAATTACGCCTTTTGAAGTCAAGCTTTAATTATAAAAATTAAATAATTTCCTAACTCCCATCGCAACCCAAATTTGCAGTAACAGTTACTCTAAATTGCCAAATAGAGAACATGGTTTAAGTCTAAGTGCAGAATTAGTGGTAGTAGCAGTAGTAGAAGAAGAAGAAGTAGAAGGTAGCTTAACATTTTGGACAACGAATTCGAACTGAACCATCATCGGTCCAGCTTCTAGCGATATAGGCGCAATTGCGGTTAATAACCATGGGGGGTGGGGGGGGGGGGTTAGGGGAGGATGCAATTACAATTTTTCTACCCAATTCTGATACTGCAAGGTCTTTCATCGTTTTTTCCCCAATATTGAAAATGTTTATCTTATTAAAAGATTAATATGATAATAATCTGGTACACCCGTTTGAGTTTGTGGTTAAGTGAACTAGAATGCATAAATGGCCACCCTTATTAGTTCATTGTTGCTATAGTGATTTGAGCAGTAATGGTTGAGTAAGCACTTTACAAAAGCTTTGGTCATAAATGGCTTGCAATCAGAAACTTTAATTTTACAGTGTGACTTCAAAGTCTCTTCTTACTTCCAATGCTGTCTTGAGTTAGCTCGAATCAGCAAAACTTTCACATTAAAGCATCAACTAGGTTTTTTCCAATGTATGCCACGTGCTTGTTTTTAAATGACTTTTAAATGCTTTCTTTGCAGATCCTGATCCCCGCTACACATCAGGCTGCTTTGAACGTATGGAAATACTACCTTTCTGAAGACCTAGAATCAGGTCCCGTGTACGATCTCGATCTATTCTGTCCTAGCTACCGTAAGCAGACTAATCGTCCATATGAACCTGTTCTTCGTCAAGGTTACAACAACAGTCATGTGGTGAGTCGTCGTCCCATTAACTTTCTACTTTTACTAAATTTCAGCAGTATTTAATGGCGTCATTTCGCTACTGTAGGAACAAACATACGCCTTGCTGGGTCTACGAGAAGGCGATGAGGTAGTCGGTTGGCAGGAGGCTTGGTCAGAAGCTGTTCGTCTCTCTTCTGGTACTGCAAACGGAGATTCCAACGAGCTGCTTTCACCTTTCTCCGATATCCCCCTGTCAGAGGAAGCTGGAGCTGACTTCGATCGAAGAGTCCGTTCGAAACTTGGTTACACTTCTACCCTTGGCACCACTGATGACCATGTAGCTTTGAACACCACTCTTAAGCCCCCACCTACTCAGCCTCAACCTGACTTCGCTTTCAATTCCCTCCCAAAACACGCAGCTAACGGGCTAGATATGACTACGAGTGAAAGAGGCTGTATCAGTGATGGAGTTGCATCGCTGCCTGAATCAGATGAGGGCAATTTGCAACCGGGGGACATCCATGATGACGTTGCTTACTCACCTCCAGTTGATGAATGCGGTGAGGCGCAGAGAGCCGTATTCGCTCAGCATCGGGCCGCTACCATGAAGAGGCTAAATAGAACACCTGGAAAGGGCCCGCCGCCTCAGATGTATCATAATCAGTCATCAACTTTGGCAGTACCTTCTTCGCTGAATGATGATAGTGTATCCCTGTCGAGGTCGTTTCAGCAAAGTGGCTCATTGAATGATCTGGCGTTTATTGAAGAGGGTTTTGGAAACAATTTTGATACTACTCTATTCGAACAAGTAAGCTACTTTAGAGAAAACGCTTATAATTTAAGCCTTCAGTTGACCTTTGTTTAGGTTGATGCCGTTAATAGGTATTGAGTGGCGGCATGGAGTAATGATTTAGTTGTGTTAGATTTTTTCCTCCTTTACCGCCTTTGGGTAATGAAATGACATTGACACTATTTTTTTCAGAAAGTTAGGCCTAACCAATCAAATGGAAATGCAAATGTTTGAGAAATGAATTAAACAATATACTTTTTACCTTAGAACATTAAAATATGAACTTTTTCCTCATTTTGGTATTCTTTCCATAGTTATAAAGTCGATACTCAGGAAAGTATTTTTTACGCGAAAAGTGCAGTTTCATGCTATATTTCTATTTTAATACCATCCTTGTGAAAGCTTTTGATCACGATTAACTTCCATCTCACGAATTTCTGCTGCTGCTGATGATGCTGACTTGCTGTATCAAATGCATCTTTCAGTGCATTAGTCATTTAGTTGCGTGACCTTGAGTAAAAAGGTCTTTATCTCACAAATACATCACATATTTCAAATATGAAACCGTTTCCACCCTCGCCCAACGAACTACTTCGTTGTTGCATCTATGGCAAGTAGTTTTGGGAATCCGAATGGAATATTTTTGGTGTGCCTGGTTGGAGTCCACAAGCCTCTTTTTCTGATTGGTGAAACTGAATCAATTTGAGGATTCTAATGCTTTAAGTTCTCGTTGTGATTGTTGATTAAAAGCGGACAAATAAAGATCCCAATTTTATCAACCAAGTCAAGGTTTTGCAACATGGGTGATTTTGCTTGATTTCTCCAGTCCCTCACCAATAGGCATGGCCTCAGTTAATATCTTCTAGCAATTTGTCAGAGTCAAAGTAAATTTCACCTTTGGTTACATGGCGTTACATATACATACGTGAAAGTATATCTATAAATTGCAAAAACTGTTTGACACTAACATAAACGTTTAAATGTGGAGAAAATAGCACCTTTATTGAGAGCTCTGACTGCAAATGTAAAAGTATTCCGTTTGCGATTGGGGGGAAATGAAATCTACATTATCTAGGAAATCACATTTACACATCGATGGGATAAATATGTTCGAACGGCCAAAAGAGTGCATAGCTGGCGAATTCTATTGGGATTGAGGGGAGAGCGCTGTGTTACCTTTTAATTATATTTATTTCATTTGGATAGTTCTTTCTTCTTTATGAAATGCATATTCAGAAAACAAGTTATACGTCTGGTTTCTTTACCTTTTTTTATTTTGAAATGATTGCATGAATGCACCCTTTTTCAGTGGAGCAAATTAGGATGAAATTCTTCTTTTCTGATTTGATAATTTGAAGAGGAAATCCTTAATCACAAGTTAATTTTTGTGGGCCTTGTGAATTTTATTATTTACCTTGATTTATTTTGTCTATTTAATGGAAGATAAGTGCAAGCTTAGACCAATATTAAAGCCGATTATTTATATCCTCGATATATTTTCCGTAATGCTCTTATAGGATGTTTTAAACATCCTTTTCTTTTTTCGAAATCTTTGCCTTGTTCATAGTTTAATTTGAAAAAGTGCTTATTATGACTTCAGAGACGAGAAAGATCGCTACAACCATTCAGTTCTGTTTGAAAATGAGCATGAGTGGTATGGTATATATATATATATATATATATATATATAT